ATATACATGTATGTATATATTATATATACATGTATGTATATATATATATATATATATATATATATATATATATATATATATATATATATATATATATATATATATATATATATATATACATATATATATATATATATATATATATATATATATATATATATATATATACATATATATATATATATACATATATATATATATATATATATACATATATATATATATATATATACATATATATATATATATATATATATATATATATATATATATATATATATATATATATATATATATATGTATGTATATATATATATATATATTATATATATATATATATATATATATATATATATATATATATATATATATATATATATAGATAGATAGATATAGATATATATACATGTATGTATATATATATATATATATATATATATATATATATATATATATATATATATATATATATATATATATATATACATATATCAGAGTTTCAAAAATACCTATTTAAATATAACAATCATAACTAATCACCCCTGATTCTTTTACTAAAAATCACAATCCAAATTTGCCGCATAATTGCATTGCAACCCTAAAACTTAATTTGAGTAAGTGTTGAAAACTTAATTTACTTTAAGGTAAGTTTCCACTCATCCGTTTTTCTATAGAATGGGATAGGAAAGGGAAAAATAATCACGTAAGCATGCATAGTTTACTTCTGACAAATTAAAACTTATAATACGCATGCCCACGTGATTATTTTTCCCTTCCCTTTCCCGTTACCGTGAAAAAATAAATGAGTGGAAACTCACCTTTCGTGCCAACTTTTATTTATTTAAAATTTTTTTTGTAAAAATAAATAAACTGTTTTAAATTTTGACTAAAATTTAAAGTTTAATTTTTCATTATGCTTTTTTTTTTCTTTAGATCATTGCTTTGGTATATTATTGATAACTCACTTATTGTGATACTTTCTCAAGCTTGTTGTTATCTTCGAATGTCTAGTGTAGATGAACGAAGTAAACACTTTTTACGAAGAGAACTTGGAACAGAATTGGTAATACTTTTATAGTTAAAAATTTAGTTTTTTAATTTAAATAGTAAATATTATATTTGAGGTATAAATACAGTTTTAAAATTCGTTAACTTTTTGTTTAATTTTAAAATATTTTAAGCTCAGTGAGTAGGGACAAAGATTTAGATTTTGTATGAAACTAAAGAAGAATTGAGAAGTGGATAGAGATCAAACCCCCATTTATTCCTGCTTCTCTCAAATTATAAATTAGGTGGAAATTTAGCAAAAAAGTTCACTATACCAAACTGCAAAAAATTGATTATATAAAAACTAACTGATTATATAACTTGAAAGTTACATTATTTCAAAGCTTTTCAATGCTTGTTTTTTTAAAGCAATTCTTCTATTGAAAATAAATAAAAAAGATTTAGCATTTTTTCAAATACTAATATTTACATTTTTATTTATTTTCTCCTATATTTCCAATTTTTAAATGCTAAAATTGGAAATATAGGAGAAAAACTTCTTTCTGCATTTAAAACATTTGTTGCAGATAGACAGAAATGTTGTGGAAGGTCCTAATTTCCTCTTATAGCGACTCTATACATTTTTTTTGAGAGAGCATACAAAGCCCTAGGAATTTCAATTACACCTAAAGTTCATAATGTCATCAAGCACATACCTGAGTTTATTGACAATCAGGCTGAAAAGCATGATATTACCCTGCAAATACTTCCTCCAACTCTATGAAAAATATTTTCAAAAGGTTTTGGGTTTTTGAGTGAACAAGTATTCAAATCAGTTTATTTCAGCAGGATTTCAGTAGGCTATGGGAAACAGGTTTACAAAGGAAATTTAGGTCATCCAGAATACAGTAAAATCTAAAGAATTGTGTAACTGGGTATTGCTCGAGGAATCTAAAAGTCGATAGTGAAAAACTAGTCAAAATTTGTATCTTTGTTGAAATTAAATAAATTAAAGAAGATAATGACAAATAAAAAAAAGATAATGACAAATTTTTAAATTTTGATGTAAAAATATGGAAAAATGTTTTTATGTAAAAATGTTATGATCTATTCTATAGCTTATTAATATAAAGAATAGCTTTAGTAATTTGATGTGAATAAATAATCTAATGTAAAAATAGAAAAAATTAACTTACAATGCCTATGTGTGATATTTGGTATGATCACAATGTCCACAAAATGCTAGATCATTTCTGCCAAGAAATATTATTGTTTTAATTATTGAAACTAATTTTTTTCAGTTATCAGTTATTATTACTTTTGGAGTTGCAACGTGAACGTAATGCATTAAATGAAAGCATAGTCCTTTTATATAAAACACAACTTTTCTCATGAATTTAAAATCACAAACAGCATTACCCCATTCTTGGTGAGGCTTGAAAACTAAATTTAATATTCCAGACTTTTTTGGAATACTAGCATCTTGCAAATTAAAAGGAAAACAGTAAGCTCCATCTTCTTTGCTAGAATAAGCTAACTAAAAAGTGGCTGAACCATTCAATTTTAAACGATCTTTTTTTATTAATAGAATTAGGACAAAATACTTTGTTTACCGCATCTAACAAAATTAAATCGCCAGCATTGAAAGGTTTACCATGGCTTACATAAATTAAAACATTGTATAAAGAGTTTGAGTCTTGGTATAAAGGAATATTAACTGAGTTGGATTCTAATCACTCAAATATTTTAAAATCTAAAAAAGGTTCAAAAGACAACTCAAAGCATTGTTTTTTTTTTTAATTGAGTTAAGATAGGATTCTGACATAATTTGCAGAATGTTTCTGTGAAAGAAACATGTTTAATTTTTTCTGTGAAATAAACACAGAATTTTTCTGTGAAAGAAACAAACTTTTTCTGTAAAAGAAACATTTGAGAATTGTTTTTTGTTTGTTTCAGTTTTTAGACAAATAAAGTGTAAAGGATGAATAAAAATAAATTAAAAAAAAGTATATAAATCAAGATTAATTTATATTATTTTCTAGATAGAAATATATAACACCATTTACTTTAGTAATAGGTTTTTACCTTAAGCAACATAATCTTTACTATTTTCTTGCTTCGGGATAAAACAATCTATTTTAGAATTTTTAAAATACTGACTATATGGATGCACTGGACACTTGTTATTTTGAATTTTCAGCTTTTCAGATAACTGATTTTTATATTTGCGAATATTTGGCAAAAATCTAGTCTTAAATGCATTTGAGACTAAAAAATTCATTTTTGTTTCAAAATAAAATTATTAGCAAAGTATATCAGGTGGCATATCAGAACTTTATAAATTTTGAATGATTTGGAGCAAATGATGCAATTGTTTTAAACTTTTTACAAAATTGATTGGTTATTAAAAACATTCTTTATCTTTTTTGAAACATATTTGTATTTTTTTGCGAAAGGTTTGTAGAAACTGTTGCAATTGTTATTTTAATAAATAGTGATTGGTTTAAACTGTTTTTTAACCAATGATTCATGATTTAGAGTACAACTGCATCACTTCCTAAAAAGTGATCAGAAAAATTTGTAAAAATGTATAAATAGGATTGGTTAAAGCCTAAAATATTTTTTTTTTAACCAATCACATTTGTATTAGCGAAGAACAATTGTATCAGTTGCTCCAAAACACAAGACATTTTGTCTTAGTAATGAATAATTAATTATAGAGACCAAATAAAATCGAGTTTAGATTTAATAATTTTTTTTGAGTTTAAAACAAATTTTACATTTTTTGTGAATATCAGATTCTAATTTCTACTTTAACTTTTATTATGAAAAAAAATTGAAAAAGAGATACTCATAGAGATTAAGATGTGCAAAAAGATTGATGCACATGCAATGTTGGCGACACCCTAAATTATTTATGATTATAGATGTCCATTATCTCTAGATAAATGGACATCAAAGAAAAATCATTAGTATATGTGTTTAAATTTTGAAAGCACAGATTCGATCTCTTGGCATGTTAAGGATTAATGGTTCTGTGACAGCAGAAAAAGCATTTGAAATGATTAGCTTAAAGATTTTAATTTAAAAGGTTTGATGTTTGATGAAAAAATTAGAAAAACTTTTAAATATTGTTCATCAACTTTGTCACTCCTATGGTATTCATCTTGCTGTTTTTGATGTCATTTACAAAAAGAAACACTTTAAAGAATTTGACACTGATGATGAACATGACAAAGTTGATGAAATTGATGAAGAAAATTTTGATGATGAACTAAGTGGGGAATGGCAGGAAGAATCAGGCAACAATGATGTAATTGAGTTGCCAGATTATCTTTGCTAAACTATAATAAATATTTAAAAAATTGCCAAGTTATTCAGGAGATCTACAACCGAAAATGGTGTTTTTTAACAACATTGTTTGGAAGAGCATTGAAAACCGTTTTTTTTTTTTTTACAATGATTTTTGGCACAAAGACAAGATGGAGTTCAAATGATCAAAATGTTTTCAAGATATCTAAAGATAATAAATGTTTTAGATTCCATTTATAATATTTTGTCTACCAGTGAATTAGTACTTACTAAATCAGAAGTTGATATCATAAGGGATTTAGCTGAGTGTTTTGAAATAATTAAGGTTGGAGCTCTGCTATTGTTACATTTTTACAAAGAGCTACTGCTCTTTGTAAAAGAGATGTTTACACCTTGACAAGTAAAACGACTTGAATTTAATCTTATAAAACTATATGAAATGTGCTGTTGGTAAAGATTTTTATACTGTGTTAGAAAGAATCAATGAAAAAAGAAACTCTGGACTTATTGTGGAATTATTAGATATTTAGACAATTCAAATTGTTATGATAAAATTACTGAAAACTTAATTCTTTATTATCCAAAAATAAAGGGGCTTCAAATGAAAGCAAAAGACTTTTTTTGAAAGATAAAATAGCCCATCAATTGATTCAAGCAACAAGAGTGATGCTCCAGCATCTAAAGAATTGTTGCCAAAGAGTAAAATTGATGAACTTTATAAATATTTATCTGACCATGTTGTGATTTTACTAACTAAAAATATGTTATTATTTATTGAAAAAGAATTTGCATTGTTTGAAGCATTTAATGATTGACCAAAAGGTTTGGAAATGTTAAATTCAGCCCTTTCTTCTTTTGCCACCTTCATCTGTGTAAGCTGAAAGATGATTCAGCACGGCTAGCTTATTTATGATCAAACTTAGAACATCATTAAATGATGAAATGGTTGATACATTATGTTTATTAAGGTTATATTTAACCAGAAATAGTTTTCATGTGTTTGGCTGAAGCAATAAGTCAAATATTCTTATTTAATATAATATTTTAGTGTTTAAACTTATGACCATATAAAGTTTGGCCACCCTCATTTTGAGGGAGTTACGAGTTGTACATAACCTAAAAAAATAATGGCTTGATGTGATAATTTTACACTGTTATACAGCTAAGAATTTTGACTCTTCACTATTAAAAAGTTAGCTTGGATACATGTGAATACAAAAAGCAGTAAGCATTGAAAAATTAACAAAAAAAAAAAGATTTTACAATATGAAAATAGTTTTTTCCTAATATATTCTAACGCATTTTGTTTCACTTTTGAATAAAAATTTTAATGTAATTAAAAATTACTTGCCTTCTAAAATAAAATTTATCAGAGCAACAAATGGTTCTTTTTTATAAAATCTTGTTATATGGTATTACAAGCACTGCATAATAGTAACAAAAATTTTTAAAAAATGAAATTTTTGAGTCACTTTAATTGACTCATTTCTCTGGAATGTTTTTAATAATTAAAATTGTTACTAATGTGGGACTGTATTTTTGAAAAAATGAGTGACGCAAAAGTTTTATTTTTTTTTAAGTTTTTGTTACTATTATGCAGTGCTTGTAATACCATATAACAAGATTTTATAAAAAAAACCATTTGTTGCTCTGATGAATTTTAACTTAGAAGGCAAGTAATTTTTAATTACATTAAAATTTTTATTCAAAAGTGAAACAAAATGCATTAGGAAAAAATGCATTAGGAAAAATGGATTAGGAAAAATGCGTTAGGAAAAATGCATTAGGAAAAATGCATTAGGAAAAATGCATTAGGAAAAATGCATTAGGAAAAATGCATTAGGAAAAAACTATTTTCATATTGAAAAATCTTTTTTTTTTTTAATTTTTCAATGCTTACTGCTTTTTGTATTAACATGTATCCAAGCTAATTTTTTAATAGTGTCGAGTCAAAATTCTCAGCTGTACAACAGTGTAAAATTTATTACCACATCAATCCATTATTTTTTTTAGGTTATGTACAACTTGTAACTCCCTCAAAATGAGGGTGTTCAAGCTTTATATGATCATAACTTTTAAGCACTAAAATATTATTTTCCGTAATTCAAAAATTATTGATGAAACTTATTTGAGAAAAGTATAGACAGTAATTTATTAACTTGTTGTTCTGGCATTTGGCGCCGTTGGGAAAAATATCTTAAGGCTTTTTGTTTCAAGGTTCCAACCATTGTAACTTTCTGAAAGCATTCTTATTTGAGATAAGTATACACATATAAATGTTTAGCCATGTTTGGTTAAACATTTATATGTTTAACACATATAAATGTTTAACCAAACACCAAAAATTGCTGGGTCCGCACCTGAAATGATGGTATCACAGCTCACTGGTTTTTATAAAGTCAGAGTTAAGTGGTGAGATTTCAGGGTTAGATGTCAATATCATTAAAAATTACAGCATTAAGAACACTTAGACTATGATATTATTTATTATGAATTTGAAAATCTTTGTTCTGTACAAAATACAACAAAACAAAGTACTTTATAAAAAGTTATAAAAACTATCATATATAGCAATGATTGCAAGAGTCTCAAAAAGCAATTTTTGTTGATTCTGCGAGAATCAACCCAGAAAAAACTCAAATATATATCTTAATATAGATTTGTTCAATATGCTTTTGATAATTTCAGATGCTGTTGTCAACTAACACAAAGAACTGTTAGGAATATAATATTTGTTTGTTTTACATTATTAGCTACATTAGAGTTATTGTAATTTGTAAATTTGTCTCCCGGGACTTGATCTTGACCAGAAGTATGGTTGGCTATAATATAAGATTGAAACCGGTTTGAGACTGGTAAAAAAAAAATTTTTTTCTTTATGGTATTGAAAATTCTATAACTAAAACTATCGTCATCATCATTATCAATTTTATTGTTTACGACCCATTGTATATGTTGTATAAGTTATGCAGCTTCTAATTGTGGTACTTTTCAATATTCATAGTTTTTCTTATTTTCTCTTCTTAATAACATCCTTCTCATGTTTTCTGGTAAGTAGTAAGTATTCTTTCAAAGTTTTTGTTTTCATTTCAAAACCACTTTGAAACGGTTGACACAAGATTCAAAAAGTTGGAGGTTTTATGAGTCATGGGAGAAAAGAAAAAACATGGGAGAGAATTCTAAAGGGTTGAAGTGCGAAGAAAAAAACAAGATATTTTTTCAAAAACGAAAAAAAACTTCAAAACAAAAAAATAGATTTTGAGAGCATGCAGAGACAGATACAGTAAAAGGATGAGACTTAGCTAAATGACAAGTCGAGTGAGAGTTTTGGTCGATGGAACTAGTGATGATAGCTCCTTTGAGAAGCCGCCATGATAGTATTTGCAGAAAAGAGGAAGAGATGCAGTTTTACGGCGATGGGAAAGTGGCTCAAGCTTGGCAGATAGAGCAGGTCTAATTACGTTTACAATACATTTTTGGAACTTGTCCAAAAAAAGAAAGACCATCATTAGAAGAACCAGCCTAAACATGAAAACAGTATTCCATATTGGGACGAATAAGATATTTGTAGAGGTAGAGAATGGAATAAGGAGTTAAATGATGGCGAGCATGATAAAGAGAAGCAAACTAATCAGATGCTAACTTAGTAATCGATAGTACATATGGTTTTAATAAGAGGTCAGCAGTAAACGGTAATCCAAGTTGATGTAAAAAAGAGGACTCATTCATTAATGTAGGAATGTCGACAATTTTGCTAAAATTGTTTAATAATATTAACTTCAAGCTCCAGTCTGTTACAGAAGTGAAATTAACTAGCCACTTCAAGCTCCAATCTGCTACAGAAGTGAAATTAACTAACCACTTTAAGCTCCAATCTGTTACAGAAGTGAAATTAACTAGCCACTTCAAGCTCCAATCTGTTACAGAAGTGAAATCTTACAGTGATTCTGTTATCCACCAAAAACAAGTTTTTTGAGGGGAAAAAGGTAGTCCGAATATACTTTGTAGCGTATTCTTTATAGCGAATATACTTTGTAGCGTATTCTTTATAGCGAATATACTTTGTAGCGTATTCCACCAAAAACATAATTTTTTGAGGGGAAAAAGGTAGTCCGAATATACTTTGTAGCGTATTCTTTATTAATTCTGCACATACATTTGACAATTTCGTAATTCATGGTTATTTTATAATTTAGAATAGTATGTTCTATAATTTGTACGTATTTGAAGAAAAATTCTAAAAAAAAAAAATTTAATTAAGTATCATTTATTTGCACTTTATATAATTACAACTTTGATTTTCAATTTGATTTCAAATGAAATAAAAAAAAAAAAAAAATACTAATGATATGTTTTGTAAATATGTATAGAGAGCGAATATATATATGTTTGCATAATTTTTTATTTTGTCAGCTGTTAATTATCTTTATCATGTTTATTATTAATCTTATTATGTTATGTTATATGTAAATGTTATATTTACTTTTTTTTTTCTTTTCTATTTTGTTAGAGTAACTTTCTCTACGCTGTAAATCGATTCAAATCGAGGCGTGGTGTTCCTCCTTCTCCTATAAACACAGACAAAACTGGGCAGCTCCGAAGATCTCCAAGCAAGATGATTTCGTTGATAGATGAAAACGAGAGTTCTTTGTTCAAATTAGTAGACATTTTTTCTAAACAGCTTTTGCGGTGATTTTAAAATGTAGTTGTACATAAAATTCTAAGAAAACTTTAAAATAAAACGTAATTTATACTTTCACTAGCAATTTGAATTTCAGCTTTTGTTGAGCAAGAATTTTTTAGTATAATTGTTTATCAAATATTACGTGTTCTCTTTAAAAGAGAGTATGTAATATATATAATAAAGGGAGTATGTAATAATTGCTTATCAATTATCACGTGTTCTCTTTAAAAGAGAGTATGTAATATTGGATTTAAAACTTTTTATTCGGCTAAACTACGTATTATTATGGCATTCGAAAAAATTTTTAACTTTTTATTCGACGAAACTTGGTATTATTATGACATTCGAAAAATTGAGGCATTTTTTAAATTTTTGATAGTTACGAATATGACTATATGCATCTAGATTATCTCCGAAATTTGGGGATTATCTTGATGATACCAATATTACATACTCTCTTTTAAAGAGAACACGTGATATTTGATAAACAATTTTAAAAATTTTGATTTACATTTAATGAAAATCTAAATTTTTTTAATTTTTATGCTTCCTTTCGTTGAAATTTATTAGATTTATTTTAGCGAGCACAAAAGAAAAAAATTTTGTGTGCAATAACAAAAAATAAGAATAAAGAAACCAAGTTTTTTTGTTTACAATCACAAAAAAAATAAAGATAAAGTCTTTTTAAATAAATTTTTATAATTGTCCAAAAAAAAAAGAATTTATAATTGGTAAAAAAAGTTTAAACTTTAGCTGTTTAAAGCAAACCTATCAAAGGTCGCAGAATAATTTAACGCAAGTTAAAACGGAGACTTCACATTATTTCGGTGCGAACACGTATTTTATGGGGGTTAGAAAAAGAAAAAAATGCCTACTGATTTATTTATTATTATTATCATTAAATGTAATTAATTATGTAAAATAGTGTTGACTATATTTAACCAAAAATAAAGAATATTTGCAATAATGATAAATCCATAGTGAAAATTCCTTTAAAACATTAAAAAAACCTTTTTTTTTTTTTTTTGTCTGGTCTAAGAAATATATTAGTTAAAATTGATTTCTCGGAAATCACTAAAGTAAGAATTTTAATGTTTACATCAGTAAAGATTGAGTTTTCGGAAAATTGAAAAGATTGAAAACTCCGTCGCGTAAAGCTTCCCTTTACCTATAGTTACAGATACTATTAATATAATTCTTGAAATCATTGCTTTCCAAGACTGCAATACTTGTTAAGTTTGCAGGTACGTTTTTGCGTATAAAGGTTTGAAAATCCTGACTGCATCAGCAAAACCTGTACCTAAGTAGACGGCACCCGTAACTAACTACAATTAATTCTAGCTTCTAGACAACCTCCTAGACTTTAGCTTGAAGAAAATGAAAAAAAAAGGAAGTGTTTTTATTAGAAAATTGGGATTCGTAATAGATTATAAAGAGCTTCTGATGTTCTTTCGTACTAAAACTATTACCCTAAAACTTTATAAGCCTACACTTTTCACCCTGAAATGTAAAGTGAAAGAATTGGAAAATGAAATATAAAAAAAACATTTGCAGATGTTTAAAATGATAAATCGGATAATTCTATTCTAAAACAAACAAGTATTCTAAGCTCTTAAGTTGTCTTTAATAAAAATATATACCAAAGAAAAAATATATACATTTAGGCCAACGACTTGGTTGCTTATGCTTTTGTTTTGAAGCCCGCTAAATTTGATTTGTGTTTCAACTAAAGCTGAAGTCATGCCTAGAGATGGCGTTGAACCATGGTTCAGAAATATCTCTAGGCAAGTTTTATAACATCGCTAAGGAAGGAGGCATTAACTTCCCTTCAAATGCTCTTCCGCGTTGCTCTGTGATAAGACCGTAAGGACTTTTTGGGGCACATAAAATAAAATAGAAATAAAAAAAAAAAGTTTCAAATAAGAATATTGCTTTTACGAGAAATAATATTTCTTTTTTAAAAGATGAATAAATTCGAAACTTTAGTAAATGATCCGATATTCTAATAGTTAGATTGCCGGAAAAAATATCTTTAGAAGTTGAATTAGAATTGAAAAACATTATTATTTAAAGTACTTGAGTGATTAGTAGTTCGTGTCGTTAAATATGCAAATAAAAGAAAGTTATTTGAAGCAATAATGTTCAAATACTCCGAGGTTAAATTATATTCAATAATTAAGAACCAGCCCAGCCAGACGTCTTACGGACGTCTTAATTAGGTCGCGGCGTTTCAGACTAAATAAAGACGTCCTATAAAAAAATCTTTATGAGGACCTCCTAGTGAAGTCTACATTTTAACATTATTAGGACATCCACATTTAGATGTCCTATTGACGTCTTTAAGACCTATTTTAGACGTCCTAAATACCTTAAGGTATTTATAAATATAAATAAGTCGTCTAAAAGACGTTTAGAGGACTTATTTATAATTGTATATACATTAAGACGTTTACATATATGTAAAATGAATTTAATTATTATCTTAATTCTTCAGCTTAGATATTACAAATCTTTGCAAAGTAGTATTACTGTAATCCTACTATAGTAGCAGGTAGTTAATTATTCATTGTGCAATAAGACATTTTTTTTCTTGAATTTGTTAAATGTTTTTGATGTTAATAAGTAATTTGGGAAATTGTTGCAAAAACACTTGGTTAACACAGTAATTGCTAGAAATTGTAGAGCTGTTCATGTTAGAATGAGTTGATGCTCTGACTTATCCCCTTTTAGCATAAAAATTCCTCTTATGCTGTTTATCATCGTATTTATTATGTAATTATATCACCACATTAAATCTTATTTAAATTATGACAAAACAGCTGTTAAAAAATGCGCATTTGACCGCAAGTCACGCTAGAATTAAATTATTTTACATACGTTTTGTAAAAAATATTAATTTAGATTTTTTTTCCTTTTTAAACACTTTCGCTTCCAACAAGGCTGCAAACAACTAATTAGAGTTAGAAGAGAAAATATGAAGATTGTACAGCAAGATAACGATTGACATACAACTTAAAAGATTGCAAATTATATGAATAATAAAAGCAAAATGAAGGAGGCGGATTCCAAATAACTGATGTTCGAGGAAAAAAAACTAGAGGAATAAGAGTTTTTGGAGCAATTAGGAAAAGTCACAGAAAAAGGATGAGACTTAATTGAATGACAAGTAACATGTGAATGAATTTTAGCCGATGGCAAAAGAGACGCTAGCTCTATAGAGCAGTGCCCATTGTAGTATTTGAAGAAAAGAGAAAGAGAAGCAACATTATGACGATGAGATAATGGTTGGATGTTGGCTACAAAAGCAGGTCCAACGATGTTTACAATGCATTTTTTCACCTTAGTCTAAAAGAGAAAGGATATCATTAGAAGATCCGCCCCAGATATACCAACAGTATTCCATACAAGGCCGGGTTTGAGATTTATAGAAATAGAGAATAGAATCCAGAGTAAAAAAATTTCAAGCTCAATAAAGAGATGCAACTTTAGCAGATCCTGATTTTGCAACGGATTTGATATATGGTTTCCAAGAAAGATCAGAAGTAAGAGTCAATCCTAAAAGATGAAGGGTAGATGACTCTTAAAGTACATTACGGTTCATAAATATAGGAAGGTCTAAATTATTTCGATAAATTATTTCGTTGGCTGAAAAAAGAGTTTAATCTGAATTAAAGTTCACCAGCCACTGTGAGCCCCAAGCTGTAGCAGAAGTGAGATCCTTTTCAAGCTCAAATGCCCCCTCCAAGCAGTCAGAGAGAGTTAGCTTCTTATCATGACAAGAATAAATGATAATATCATCAGCGAACAATGCCACTTTAGATGTAAAAATATCTGGAAGATCGTTAATGTAAATCAAAAAGAGTATAAGGCCAAGGATTGAACCTTGAGAAACCCCTGAGGTTACAGAAAAAGAAGAAGAGTGCATTTCATCAAGGACAAATTTTAAAAAACGATTTGAAAGGAAGGATTCAATAGTCTTAAAGATGTTTCCAGATACACAGTAAAAAGAAATCTTTTGGAGAAGACCAGCACGCCAAACTTTATTAAATGCTTTAAAAATGTCAAGAGCGATGGCCTTAACCTCTCCACCTTTAACTAATGCACTATAAAACAAATCGGTTATTACTGTTAGCGAGTCAGCCGTAGAACGAGAAGATCAAAATCCATATTAGTGATCAGAAAGTAAATTATTCGATTCAAGATGAGAGATTAGGTGTATGTACTTTAGATACAGAAGCTAAAGTGATCCGAATGTCAAGCAATGGATTAATCTGTTTAAAGGCTATATCATACTAGTGGAATCAAGAGATGATATTCATGAAAGGTTTCTAGCAAACAATTCAGCTTTGTCTTTTGGTGAGGTGACAAAGTCTGAACCGTACAAGAGAGGTGGAATTAAAGGTTTGCCCTCATTATTGATACTTTTAAAGATTCTCCAGAAATCACGAAAAAATAATTTTTGAGATGAAATGCGAGATTTTATGACCTGAGAATAGCGGGCTTTGGCGTTAGAAAAAACATTTTTAGAAAGGTTTTTAGCAGTAATAAACAGAAGCTGTTTTCTGGAGAATAGTTTTGCTGATAGAAATGGAAGTAACGGTTTTGATTGACAATTGCAGCAGCACAATGTTAAGAAAACCATAGAGAAAAATGAGCCTTGACCTGGAATTGTCCAGAGAGAATAAAGGATTCCATGCCTGAATCAACAATGTTTTGTAAGAAGCACATTTGTTAACAGGAAGACGAAAAATTTCTACCCAAAGGCCATCACAAAGAAAATCACGGAAAGAGTCCCAGTCATCTTTAAGGCAGTTGTAAAAGGTATGATGATAGGGGGATTTGGATGATGAAGAAGAATGAGATAATAGTTTTAGAGAGATCAAACTGTGATCAGAGGCACCTAAGAGTATATGTGGAAAAACTGAGCACTAACTAGGATCAGAAACAAAAAAAAAGTCGAGTAGAAAAAGTAATTGATTTGGTTTGTCAGGAAAACGAGTTGGAAAGTTGACTATTTGAGTTAGGGATTAAAAAAGGCTAAAGTTGTGGGCTTTAATG